AATGGACCTAAAAGTATCTCATAAAATAGATTATAAATCTATGTTAAATAAGTTTTATTAAGTATAAATTAACATAAGATAAACATGTGGACATTTTTCTTACATAGATTTAAAATATTAATACTACGAAAAAAGTAAAAACTAGATGTAAACTTACAACTATTGTCAATTTTAATTATGTGAATTAAAAAGAGTAATAAATGAGTAGTATGCTAAACTATTATTCAATACTTCTTCAAATGGAACACCATAATCGTTGTAACATATACTTTCAATGAATATGAAAATGAGTTAGTTACATTATGTTTTATCAAAAAATGAAAAAAAAATGTGAACTTTTTAATCTTATATACAGTATAAAAGTACAATTTTATCAAATATATATTATTATAAATAAATAAATAAATAAATAATGTTAAACAATATTTTATCTTATGTGATTATAATTGTAGCCAAATAAATAAGATACTTTGATAACAACATAATTATATAAGATTTGTAAACAAATTAAACAATACATATAAATATGCCCTAATTCTTTTAACAAATAAAGTATTATCTGCGAATATAATAAGAAACAAATAAAACAATATTAAGGCAATGAGGAAAAAGAAGTCTGATTTTTTTATTTTAGAGAAATATGAATATCAACATTTAGAAACAAAGGTCTTTTATAATTACTACATTTTTTATTACTGGCATTTAAATTCTCATAAATATTGACCCTATATTATCAATTTTGATTTTTAAAATAATTAAAAAAATAAAAAAAATTGTAATAGATAATATATATTTTAATAATGATTTTGTAATAAATTTCACAGATGGCGAAGAATATTATAATATAATAGAATTTTGATTTTTCTCCTCTCTAATATTTTAACAAATGATATGTTTCTCAATATTATCTCATTGTTTTTTTTTCATTGTTAAAGAATCAAGAAAAGATATTTATCATAAATTTTTTAAACTTTATGATTGATGCAAAAATTTGGACAATAAAAGCGTTTGAAATCATTGGATCAACCAAGCTGCTCAATAATTTGCAAACAACATATTATATAGTTCGTCTATATTCAAAATAAATAACAATGAAAAGGAAATGTCGGAGCATGATAAAAATATTTTTGAATTTTTGAATGAAGTTATTATATTTTGATAGAAATATCTACAATTTTATTGGGGTATTGTGCTCGAACATATGTGCAAGTACTCCAGAGTATATACTTTCATGTAATGTATGATGATTTCAAAAATTAATTTAGTCTTCATGTAATGTGTGATGATTTAAAAAAATAATTTAGCGTCTCGGGAGAAGTACATGTAACCAATATTTTGAAAGGTTTAACTTTTATTTGGAAATAAAACTCATTCTCACCCCATGGGGGAGGTGTCAATTTGTCTATATGGAGAGAATAATGTAGTAGTTTAAAAAAAAAAGATAATATCAGCAATTTTAGTGACACGGTTGATTATTTCACAGAGATATTCATTAATTGTTATTAGCAATACTTTATGGGGTCGTTTACTAGCAGTGATAGGATTGGATTAGGTTGGTTAACCAACCTAATCCTTCGTTTACTAAGTCTGTTGGGGATTCGAATTTTACTGATGTGGCGTGTGGGCCCCGCGTCTGGAAACTGATGTGGTGGGTTACAATAATCCGCCCAAAATGGTCTGAGTAATTAATCCTTTATTCATCCTTCCCATTTTGACCTCATTTTAACACTTAAAATGTCTGTTCTGCCCCTCTATGTCTTCTAAATTACAGGATTAGGCATATATATCTCGTTACTTGTCCAAACGTCGCCATAGATAGGATCTCGTCTGCCCTACTTCGTCGTCTCCGCCCGTAACCCTACCTGCAACTTCTTCTTCTTCTTCTTCGTTTTTTACGATTTTCTTTACTTCTTCACCCTTCGTACTAACATGGATATTCTCGCAGGTGGCAATTGCTGAGAGCTTGCTTGACGGTTGGGCATATTTTTCTCCACCAATTCAACGATGTGTTCTTAATTTTTTTTTGTTTGTTTAATTTTGCGTTGTGCGCGTTGCTTATACCATTTTATTCTCCCCCATTTGTCAGCTGCTTTGTGTTCTTCGAAGATTTGTGCCTTAATCTCATCCCCACGATTTCACGGCTCCGGGCTGGGTAAGTGATTGTATACTATTTCATGTTTCATATTTTTTTAAATCTCATTTTTTCGGTTTATATGTACCGGTTACAATTCTTTTTGTTATCTACCTAATTATGTAGTTCAACTTTGTCACTACATTACGGCATATTTCGGTGTATGTCAATCCTGCTAATGCTAAGGTTTAGTTGTTTTTTTCCTTCTACTCTGTTTTGTTCAACCTACGAATAGTGACTGCTTATAAAGCCAATACATATGTGGTAGTGAAAATACAGATTGATTAAATATTGTTCATTCTTGGTCTGTATGTCAATCCTGCTAATGCTAAGGTTTATTTGTTTTTTTTCCTTCTACTCTGTTTTGTTCAACCTACGAAAAGTGATTGCTTATAAAGCCAATACATATTGTTCATTCTTGGTCTGTTCATTCTCAGTGGGCCTATGCGCAATCATTAATGAGTTTTCATGGGCAATAGTATTGAGATTTGAAAGAGAATTATGAGAAGGTTGGACTATTGTTGTTGATGATTGCTTCAAAAACTGCCAGTTCAATTGCTTTTGGCTGAAACAAACAAATTAAAGGCAGTTTGACCTTTGTGCAGTGTTTTCATGTGAAGGGTTTATTATCTGCTTTTGTCGAGAGAAGTAGGGATCTAACTGAATGTGGCCTCGGTTAAATACGTTACATGCATTCATTGACGGATCCTCTGAGTTCTAGAGCTACTATAGATGAAATAAATGTGTTTCCAAGCATCTAAATAACAGAAACTATAAACATAGTACTTATTTACAATTTAGTTCACTGCTTGCATTTTTGTGACTCCACTTGGGTTAAGAGATTTGAGTTGTGAATTGTGACTTTCCACTGCTTGCATATCTGTGACTGAGTTGTCAATTTTGATATGATTTGCTTTCATTATTTGTGACTGATTTGAGATGTCAATGTTATGTACTTTAATGTGTCTGATTGTTTTGGAAAGTCGCAATAATTCATGTCTGATTGGATTTTTTTGTCAACCAATTTGACCTAGTATTTAAAATCACCCACTTCGATGTCTTATTCAAATGGAAAGTCACAAGAAGTCAATGAATATTCAAACATGAGTTGTACAGTGTTCAAGAACAAGATAAAGTCCCTTCCATAGAATAACAATAGTGAAGATAACCTGCGTCTGCTATTTTATGTGTGTGTGGTGCTTCACCTCATACGTTTAGAAATAGTAAAATAAAATAATATTTGTCATATTGATTTGTAGATGGATTCGGTTGGAGAAGAATTAGCAGTTGTTGCTATATTGGAAGAGGTCATGTGTAGTGTTCAACTTTTTTTGCTACTAGCTACTTATTACTATATCAAATTCATCCGTCCTCGGCGAAAACGACGACGTTTGGGCAGTAACCATGTTCCGTTATTTCGAGTTAGTGATAGACTCCCACATCAGGTCAACTATATGCGAAGGTTGATCGATGTGAGTGACACAACTTGTGTCGAGAACCTACGTATGGACCGTAACTCCTTTGGCCGTCTGTGTCACCTTCTTGAAAGCTCTGGCAGACTTAGGCAATCTAGAAATGTTCCTTTAAGTGAACAAGTGGCTATTTTCCTTTCAATCCTAGCTCACCATAAGAAGAATGTCACTTTAAAGCTTGATTTCGTTAGATCCGGTCGAACCATAAACAAATACTTTAACCGAGTTCTTGACGCTGTCATCCGAATTCACTCAATCCTCGTTGTGCAACCAAAAGCAGTTGAGGCAGATTGTGTCGATGAAAGGTGGAAATGGTTCAAGGTAACCTACAACACATTTCTCAACGTCGTTCGAATTTCTTAGTTCAACACTCATGAACTAATAAGTATCTTTGGTTTTGTCTCGTTAGGGATGCCTAGGAGCACTAGATGGAACCTACATTGATGTGCGAGTCCCTGCTACTGACAAGGCACGCTATAGAAACCGTAAGGGTAGTATAGCTGTTAATGTACTTGGGGTTTGCGATAGAACCATGAACTTCGTTTACATGGTTTCTGGATGGGAGGGGTCAGTGGCAGACAATCGAGTCCTGCGTGATGCTGTTACTAGGACGCATGGTCTACGTGTTCCCAATGGTAATACTAACTATATATTACCGAAACATCACCCAATCATCTTTTTAAAATAAACATAACACAAGCTTTTCATTATTTACGATAAATTAAAATGTGACACAGGAAATTATTATTTGGTGGATGGTGGTTATACGAATGGTCCCGGCTTTTTAGCGCCATATAGGGGTGTGAGATATGACTTACAAGAGTGGGGCACGGGATCACGCAGGCCACAAAACTTTAGAGAATTGTTCAACCTTCGTCATGCTAAGGCTAGAAATGTGATTGAACGTTGCTTTGGAATTTTGAAGATGCGATGGGCAATTCTTAGGAGTTGCTCATATTATTCCATTCGAACACAAAATCGCATTATCATGGCATGTGCGCTCCTACACAATTTCATACGTACGTCAATGGCCACTGATCCAATTGAAGCCTTAGTTCCTGAGATCCCCGAAGTTGGATTGCCCACAACTACGGGTGAAGATGATTTGATAGACCAGGTGAACAGTAGCCCAGAATGGACACAATTTCGTGACCGATTGGCACAAGGTATGTTTCATGATTGGCAGAATAATGTGTTTTAGGTTAACAAAGTTTATTTTTTCAATATAGGATTATGAGATTTCGGTGAACAAACATTTCCATGGTTGTTGACTTGTCTTCTTTTTATACCATTTTGTTGTGACATTTTATCCATTGATGTTTGGTTTGGTGTGTTTATTTGTTTATCAATTTTACGAATAAATTATTTTGGATAATGCGATGTGTCTTTATATTAGAATGCAAACGAATCCTTTAAAAGAGGCCTTCGTGAGAACAGGTACCACCATGGACTACTCATGTACCCAAGAAAGTGGTCGATCTTCCTCCTCCCAAATAGCAAGACGACGTACGTGGAGCCGGCGTGAGGAGTCTGCCCTAATAGATATCTTGAAAGACATGGTTATCGAGGGATGGAAGGCAGATAATGGGTTTAGGCAAGGATATAATTTTGAGATTGAGAAAAGATTGAAGTTGAAGATACCAGACTGCACCCTTCAAGCTGAACCACACATCAGCTCAAAAATACATGTGTGGATGAAGAACTATAGGAGTGTGGCACTCATCAAAGGAACTTCAGGCTTCGGGTGGAGTGAGTTGACAAAAAATTTTTCCTGCGACGATAAAGTTTGGACACAATGGGTAAAGGTAAATTATGATACCCATTCATCATGGGATGTAAGAAAGAGATAATATTTCCAAAACATTTGTGCCAATTACGTGTATGTGGTTAATGTAGGTGGATCCAAATGCAAAAACACTTAGGAACAAGTCTTTCCCCTACATCAACGATTGGGCTGAAATATTTGGGAAAGACAGAGCTACAGGTGAAAATTCACAATCCTTTCAAGATGCAGCCAATGACGTTCCAGAGCATGTCATGCAGGACCAACAAGAGTCGGATAATGAGGATGTTCCATCACATCAGAACCCATCTGATGGAAGCCCAGGCCTTCGCATGGGTAGCACTTCAGGTACGGAGTCCAGGTCCGGAAATAGGGCAGGTAAGAGGGTGAACGGTAGCAAAAGGAAGGGAGACAATCCCTTCGAGGAGCGTTTTCTGGATATCATGCAGTCCTTTTCCGAAAATACAAAAGAGAGCTTGAATGGGATTGCTTGTAGGCTTGGGTTTGAGCATGAGGCGGAGAAGAAAAGAAATGCCGTGTTTGACTCATTGTCTAATATGCATTTTCTGTCAAAAGAGGATAAAATGATTGTCACGATGCGCTTATGTAAGAATCAACAGGAGTTGTCAATGTTTTTCAGCCTATCCATGGAAGATAAAGCTATCATGGTGAAAATGATGCAGGATGGACGTTTGTAGTTCGTTGGAAATGTATAACACTTTTATGTCTGATGTGGGATGTCGAAACTTCGTGTGATGGTAGGACTTGCGAATGATTAATGTTTGTTTTGTGTGTTGAATTTGCCATTTGAAGACTTTCTAGTTGATGTGCTTGTTTTCATTTTGCTTTTGAAGATATTATTGATGTGTTTGTTATGTTGGACTGTAAAAAAAACGTATTTGGATTCTATCATTGCAGTATTTATGCAATATAATTCTATAATGTATCATTGCAAAGCTCCCTTTTTTTTTTTCTATTTTGTTGTGACTACAATCAGGGGATGGACAACATGGATGTTGACGGTGACGGTCCTCATTTCTTCAAGGCTGTTCAGTTTCGTACACTCCATACCATGGTAAGATAGTCTACTTTGTGATGTACATGCATAGCATTTGAGAATGTTTTACAGGGAAATATTTACGGAAATGTGTATTATGCTGAGGATGTACTGGGCTCAACTTCACCAAACAAGCTTTTATCTGCATTATATTTAGCAAAAAAAAAAAATATTTTAGCTCATTATATTTGTTTGGTTTAATATTATGTAAAATAAATAAAATCCATGTTTATTGGTCTATACGTCAAAGTTTTTGAATCTTATGTGTTTTACAAGCTTCTTGTCAATCTCTTTGGACTATTTTTCATATACTTGATTAAAGTCTGATTACTGAAAACCAGATATTGACTTCTCTTTAACTTCTTCAATCAACCTTGTGACTAATTACTTCAAAACTCTGAGCTTTTATCCTTAAATTAATGTCGATTTGTTGTAGTTAGTTGTAAATCTTTGGAAGGCAGTAAATATGACTTAGGAGCTAAAGGGATCATGTAACTGAATTCTGAATTTGGATTTTAGGTTTGTGTTATCCTCCAGTTATTTAATAATCTGGAATAGTTTGTCTTGTCTACTAATATTTCTGATAATGAAATGTCAATTTAACTTTGAATATGGCAGCATTTTTGTGACCGGACCATATATGCTTTCTTCTTTGGCAGAATCTTCCACTATTAATCAATGAGACATATGTTGATGATTTTAAAGGTCCCACCTCATGTAGATTTTTTTGGGGGTTGGACGCATGATGAGTATTTCAATATATTCCACCAACTTGTCGTATTTGGTTGTAAACAGTCAGTTATATGGATTAATATGTGTATATGGACATATATGAACTTATGTGGTTATGTCGACCAGTACTGAATCTCCTACATTGTATTTAACTAACACTTGTAACATCCATTTGCGTTTGAAGGATTCCCGCCAGCAACACACCACCATTACCGTGGTGTGGTGCTGCCACAACGGTGCAGTATCGAGACTATCGAGGGTCGTAAATACGAGGCGACATTAGATATGGTCAACAACTGCCTGACATTAACGGATGGGTGGAGAGATTTCATACTTACAGAAGACATAACCACAAACTACTTTTTGGTGTTCCGTCCCAGGACCATTTTTGATTTTGAAGGGTTGGTGATGGAGCCCAATGGTTGTGAGAGGCTACCACATTACACGTTTAGTCTCGAGATAAAGCCAACTCATGTGGAGCGTGCTCGTCTGGTACGTTGTTTGATGTAATATTTTAATTTCATTAAAATAACATATTTTATAACATTGTCTTTAACGTCTATTATATATTAGCCAATCCCAATGCAATTCTGGAGGGATAACATTGAAGGCAAGTATTTGAATTACAACTCCGCAATATTGAAGTTTGGTGACATTTGGTATGACGTCGACATAATACATGGACATGGGAAGAAACTGTTACAGCATGGTCGTGCGCGACAATTCATCGATAACAACGACATTGTTGTTGGTGAGGTTTGCACGTTCTTTCTCCTCCCACATGATGAAGTCATAAAATTCAAAGTCAAAATGTAGGGGAAGTCTAATATGTAGTGGACCTTGTATACTCGGGTTGATGTTGCAGACTTTTGTTGGTGCTTATTTGCGAACTTTGTTTTTTTATTTATTATGGATTTGTTGACGATGTTGGAATTATGGATTTAATTAGCTTTTATTGACGATGTTGGAAAAATGGAGGATTTTGGATATCGTTTGTATATATTTTTGTTGTTAATGCTTTTCGATTATATTTTGTTAATGGGTGCTAAATTACAAACATTACACGGGTGAATACGAACATAGCACACAGGAGAAGGAGACGCATAGAATGCAACTTCATAACATCGACAAGCAATAACACCGACAACCAGTAACACCGACAAGCATACACTAGATAAGACAAGCATAACATAAGAGAAGTGAACATAGAATACCTAAACAACCCAGACGGAAACTACTACGTGCTCATCAAAACCATGACAAACAAACTAAAGAGTACAACCATAAAAACACATTTTCCGGTGAAGGGGCTAGTACCACGGCCATTCAGGCGGCGTGAAGTCCATAAGGGTGGCAGAACGTCAGTACCACGGCCAATCACGCGGTGTGAAATCCATAGGGGTGGCCGAACATGCAGTGGACGAAGAATTTGGATCCACTTCATTCGCACGGCTATGAGTGGAGTTGTAGTATGTCGGTTGGTTGACAGATCCATCAGTTGACCCAGTCTGGCTATGGATGGACTGCTCTTGTTGGCGGGGCTTCGAAGTGCTACCCAAGTAGAAGGCCGGACGTGGTGGTTGTTTTTTACGTGGGATGTCGGTTCGAACAGGGTACGGCACTAACCTACTCGGAGGGGCATGTTTTGGGGTGTAGTCCTCAACATCAATAATTTGAAGATTTTTATTGCGGCCATTGTTTGCATTCATATTGGGTTCATTATCACTGTCAGACAAGATATGGTACTCGAAAGGAGGTACGTACGCCGGCTCCACACGAAACAACTCTACAATTTTGTCATGCTGCGGATCACCTTCCATCATGTACGCTACTGAAAAATCATCCCACTACATAAAAGATAAAATACATATTAGTTTGTAGCTCTAAGGTGTGTGTAATAAAGCAAATGGCAAATCATTGACAAAACTCACATCTACCAGTTGGTACCAAGTCTTGTCCGAACAATGGTACTTGTTTTGGCCGGCGTCGTATTGCACACCATCCTTCACTTTAAGGGATGTGAAAACATCATGTCGTTTGGCTAAATTATCAACGCGGCTTCTTATGTACTCCGTCGAAAAGCTCTTATGATGATACGAATTTATTGCTTTCGTAGTATCAACGATGGAGTCAGTATTAGCTGCACCAGGAACAAAGTGACCACACAACTTCTCATCAAGCAAACATTCGATTAAGAAATCATCAAGTTTTGGTGTCCAATATAGGTCGTACAGGAAGTCAGCCTGCACTATGTTGTGATTATTTTTGTTACGTTTTTTACTGTTATTTTACATTTATTTTCCCTCATTTTTAGGTCTTTTAGAAGGTCTTTCGGTCCATTTAGTTGTTTTCGGTTATTTTTGTTGTTCTAGTATTTATTGTGTATTTTGTGGTTTTTCGTGTGTTTTCGTGTGTTTTTGTGTTTTTCCGGTTTTTGGGGTAATTTCAGGTATAATAAGTCTGGATTTTCGAGAGTTATCGTTTCCGACGCATTGCCCCGTGAAGATTTGAGTTACAAGATAAATTGCTCTTTTGAGCATAGCTGGAAAGAAGAGCTCGTTAGTAACGCGTAGGAGAAAACGGAACTAAATTTCGAGTCCGAATGATCCCAAACGAGAAAGAACCGTAAAGCCGCGCAAGTTGCCCAAGCCTCGCGCTGCGGCCACTTTTCAGCATAACTTTGGGGCAACTTTTGTAACTAATTGTGGCCAGTATATGACATTGAATTGAAGAGGAGTTCGTTAGCTACGCGTAGGAGAAAACGGAACTCAATTCCGAGTCCGGACGAGCCCGTACGAGCCAAAACCGTAAAACCGCGCAAGCTGCCAAGTCTTGTTCAACATGGGCGGCGCCCACTTTTCAAACATGGATGTTGGGCGGATTTTGGAAGATTTTGGGCTGATTTTTGATAGATATGCTAGCCATTAATACATAATGATCTTAAGATGATTTTGATGTGATTTTGTCCCCTCTTGAACTAGTATAAATACATCATTTGTGAGAGGTCTTAAGGGAGAGTTCGGAAAGGAAGTTTTAGCTTGAGTTCTTAGATACAAATATTAGAATTAGTACAAACACTTTCTAGTGTTCTTGATGTTCTTGTTCTTGTTTTTATTTTCATTTGGTACTTGAAACACTTGTGTGTGTAATTTTATTTTATGTTGTGAGTTAAAATTCGAGTGTTTATCCAGTTAAAATCCGAGTGTTATTCTGTAAATTCCGTTCCGTTAAGACGTTATAAATTTATATTCCGATTATTGTTATTGCAGTCGTAATTATTCTTATTGTTCCTAAAGGAATGATTATGAATATTATTACTACAATAATAATAGTTGTGGATACTTATTTATATATATATATATATATATATATATGTTATAAATATTAACTATTATTGCTTAATGTTATTGCTTATTTCTACTGTTGTAATTTTATTGCTTTATTTACTTTACGCACTTTACTCCCTGCCAATTACTTATCACATATATATATATATAGAAATATTATTATTATTATTATTAGTATTATTATTACTATTATTACTGTAATTTACTTTCTGCACTTTACTTTCTGCACTTTACTTTCTGCAATTTACTTTCTGTTTATATACTATTATTACTACTACTATTATTATTATTATTATTATTACTATTATTATTAATATTATTATTACTATTATTACTACTATTGTAAATTATTTCTGTTATTTACTGTTTTGCTTTTCCAGTTGACTTTCTGTTATTTAATGTCTTTCTTCTGTTTCTGTAATGTTATGTAAATTTCTAGTTGTAATCAAGCAAAAATCTGGATTAATTTTCTGCATTATTATATATATAAAAGAAATTGAATTACACATAATATAGTTCGATTGACCAGTCCTTGAGATCGACCCGGGAAACGAGTTTTTAACTCGGTGCTCGGAAAAATATAAAACAAAATTTGCTACAACAAATTTGGCGCCGTTGCCGGGGACTGGTTAAAGATTTATATTGTGTATCGTCAATTTTCTTTCTATTAAAAAAAAAAAAAATATATATATAAATATATATATTTATTTCTTTTAGTTCTTCAAGTTATTTTCTTTTTATTTTTAATCTGGTGCTCGTAACGGGTTCTTGTCTTTGTTTATGCAGACCAGGAGTGGACTTGTATTTAATCCGACAAGCGCCCAGTCAAGTGATCAGGACAAGATGGCACAGCACGAAGAACAAGGCGAGAACGTTCCACCTAGGAATGTTCTTAAAGACTTGGGCTATCCCGAAATCGGCCCGGTTACATCTTGTATCCGGTTGAGT